TGATTTTTGTATGCGCCCTGACCAGGGTTCAAACACGCAACCTTGGCTTATCGTACAATGCTCTAACCAACAGAGCTACCTGGCCAGGACTTCACCTTACAACTTTTTGACTGAACAATGATGCAAAAGTGATATGCATTCAGTAGAAACTGTACTTCGAACTTTGATGTCTTCCCAAGGTAGCAATACACTGCTCAGCAGCAGTGACCATGAGAGATACTCTGCAGGGGTCCTCAAACTACGGCCCGCGGGCCACTTTTGATGTCTTCCCAAGGTAGCAATACACTGTTCAGCAGCAGTGACCATGAGAGATACTCTGCAGGGGCCCGCGGGTCACATGCAAATATAAATATTGTATTTGTTCCCGTTTTGGTTTTTTACTTCAAAATAAGATATGTGCAGTATGCATAGGAATTTGTTCATAGTTTTTTTTTAAACTATAGTCCGGCCCTCCAACAGTCTGAGGGACAGTGAACTGGCCCCCTGTTTAAAAAGTTTGAGGACCGCTGCTCTACAGTGTAACGTGTTCACCAGTGTTTTTTGGATATTGTGCCTTGCATCCCATCAAGTCTACGAAACATCTGTGTTTACTGTTTCTGGTGAGAAAAGGAAGGCAATTGCTCTTGAGATAGAACTCAAGATAATGGTCCAACTATAAGCTAATGTAAGTGTTCTGAACACGTTTAAATTAGGCTTTGCTAAGTTATGATGTTCAGTAGATTAGGTATATTAAATGCATTTTTGATTTATAATAGTTCTAACTTATAAAGGGTTTATCTGGATGTAACCCCATTCATAAAACGAGGAGCACCTGTACTGCTCTTTACTATTCACAATCCTTGACCCAACACTATCCCTTTTATCTTCTTCAGAATATTTTACCTCTCAATTCCAGACAATTAAGATTACCAATGTCAGTCATCTTTATTTCAGGTCCCCACCAACAAAACTGTCTATATCAGTGATGGCGAACCTCTGACACGCGAACTAATTTTTTTGGTTGATTTTTCTTTGTTAAATGGCATTTAAATATATAAAATAAATATCAAAAATCTAAATCTTTGTTTTACTATGGTTGCAAAGATCAAAAAATTTCTATATGTGACACGGCACCAGAGTTAAGTTAGGGTTTTTCAAAATGCTGACACGCCGAGCTCAAAAGGTTCACCATCACTGGTCTATATGTTTCTCCATCCTTGTTTGCTTCCCTTCAGTCTCCAAGAAGAAATTTTTAAGGCAAATCCCTCCATTTGTGCCTTTGATCCCATCCTTCTGCTCTGTCTACATTATTCCATCAATTAGCCCTTTCTTCTTACGTTTTTGACTATTCCTTCTCTATGTGATTTGTTTACTTTAGTTTATTAACGAGCTCGATCATCAAATATAAATAAAATCATTGCATTTACCCTGTGCCCCTCTTCAGTGACCACCCCCTTCTAAATTAAATTTAAGAGTCTTACTTTTTTTTCTACACTTTCACCCTCAAGCTCCTATCATTTGTAATTATTCTTGCAAAAGTTATAATCCCCTCCATTATACAAAATTTAATGAATATGTCTCAGCCCTTATTTCTCCTGCATTTGTTATAGTTGACAGCTTACCAATTGATTCAGCAAACATTTATTGAACACTTACTATGTGCTCTTCACTGTGTTAGTCACTCATAACCAAGACATACATCTCTATGGCATCTGCACTATTAAAACTCTTCTGATATGCCCTGGCTGGTTTGGCTCAGTGGACAGAGTGTTGGCCTGCAGCCTGAAGGGTCCCGGGTTCGATTCCGGTCGGGGCACATGCCTGGGTTGCGGGCTCGATCCCCAGCAGGGGGCGTGCAGGAGGCAGCCGATCAATGATTCTCTCTCGTCACTGATGTTTCTATCTCTCTCTCCCTCTACCTTCCTCTCTGAAATCAATAAAAATAAATTAAAAAAGAAAACAAAAAAAACTCTTCTGGTATTTGGTTTACCTTCTCTGAAATTCTTCATTGCTTCTCTATGGCATTTCCTCCTATACCTACAATCATGATTTGCTTTATATAATTAGGTGCTTCTATGTTGGGGACATAAATGTTTACAATGGTTATATCCTCTTGTTCGATTAATCCCTTTATCATTATGTAATGTCTTTCTTTGTCTCTTATTATAGTCTTCATTATAAAGTCTATTTTGTCTGATATAAGTATTGTTTATTTGCATGAAATATCTTTTTCTGCCCTGGCTAGGTAGCTCAGTTGGTTACAGTATCATCCCGATATGCCAAGGTTGCAGGGCCCAATCCCAGTCCCTGGTCAGGGCACATACAAGAAGCAACCAATGAGTGCATAAATTAGTAGAATAACAAATCGATGTTTCTTTCTCTCTCTTTTTCCTCTCTCTCTCCCTGCCTCTCTCTAAAATCAAGAAATAATAAAAAAGGGCTTCTGTCATGAGTGGCACACGTAGAGCAGCTTGATTACGTGCGGAATCGACATCAAGAGATTTCGGAAGCATAGTTTTTTGGTACGTGGGCAGCTGGTGATCGTTGGTCCCGGCCCCCGCAAAAAATAAATAAATAAATAAATAAATAAATAAATGAAATAAAATCAAGAAATAAAACATATATCTTTTTCCAGCCCTTTGCTTTTAGTCTGTGTATGTCTTTAGTTCTGAGGTGGGTCTCTTACAGACAGCATTATATATGGGTCTTGTTTTCTTATCCATTTAACTTCCGTATGTCTTTTGATTGGAGCATTTAAGCCATTGATATTTAAAGTGGTTACTGATAGGTACATATTTATTGCCATTTTTTCTTTATTGTTCCCCCAGTATTTATATATAAAAATACTGAATAGAAAATGCTACCATCAAATTTTCAAATGCTTCCCTGTTGGGCTTCAAAATCATTATCATGAATTCATTTACAATGAAATAATGTTTAAAAAGGGATGCAGAGAGCTTAATAAAATAGTTTAAAGCATATTTTCTTAACTATAAATTCTCTAAATTCAGAAATTTTGAAATTCCAATTAAACAAACTTGTGATACTAAACACTAAATATGAAAGGCACCATTCACCAATCCAAGATTTACCTGATATAAGTACAATAATCCAAGAACTGTAACAGACTTATATATGAATTAATATTATAAACATCCATAGTTTTGTATTTCCTGAATACCACTTTTTAATTTTACTATAATGTTATGGTAGCCATAGTAAAATTAGAATGTAGAGAAAAAAACTACCCATAAACTCACTGCACTAATACAACCATTATTAATATTCTAATTTACTTCTTTCCAGTCATTTTCCTGGTCATACTTGACATAATTGTAATTATAATGTCCACAACACTGTATATCTAAATTTTTAAATTTAATTTCCTATCAGTTTCGATCATAGATTTTTTACATCAATAGTAAGTTATTTCACAAAACAAGTAAGAAAACAAAGAACAAAGAGTTGTACAATATGGTTTACCTCATAAATAGGCAGCGTAGGAGAGTTCCATGCATTGATTCTTGATTCATTGACATCAACAACCGTTACCTTGATTTCAGGGCACATCTGAGCTATGACACTACACGTGGGTCCTCCAACATAGCCCGCACCAATGCAACAGATCTTCTTAATTTCAAACATGACTGTACTAGAAGAGAAACAGTAAGACTGTTCTACTATTGAAAACAGAAAATTTAAAATAACTTTGCTTATTCATCACACAATAAAAATTGTCAAGGTGCCATATCTGGAAAGATTTCCTACATTCACACTCATTAAGAATTATGAAAATAGTGATAAAAAAAATAACATTCCAATTGGATGACCAAACCTGTTCTCAGCTGCACTAGTATGAAACATAAGGAAAAAATTACAATAACTGGTATTACTGGAGAAGAGCCACAAAGATTATAATGACCCAATATTTAGAAAGTCAAGAAGCAAAATAAAACCTTACTTAGGCCTCTTAATACACTAGAACAACTTTGATTGCGGAGGTAAAGTTCAAGGGTGAAATACCAGTGCAATTCCTGCTTAAATAAATGCTGGTATACAAAGGTCGGCCTTGAGACCGGTTTAGACAAACACAGTGATAGTAAGATTAGTTCTGCCGTCCAGAATTGGCCTCTGAGATTATACTCTCTACCCAGTTTGGCTTCAGTTTACTTTTAGGTATTTGACGATGATCTTAAACTCAATTTCAAATTTAATCAGAAATCATGAGGTAGTTAAAAGAAAGAAATTTCTGTAGTAACCAAAGCTGTAACACAGATTTTTTTTTTTAATCCTCACCCAAGGGTATTTTTCCATTGCTTTTTAGAGAGAGTAGAAGGGAGGGAGGGACAGAGAGAGAGAGAGAGAGAGAGAGAGAGAGAGAGAGAAACATTGATGTGAGAAAGACACATCGATTGGTTACCTCCCACATATGCCCCAATGGGCCGAGGATTGAATCTGCCCTTGACCACCAGGAATTGAACCAACAACCCTTCCATGCACAGGCTGATGCTCTAACCACTGAATAACACCGGCAAGGGCTTGACAGATTTTCGAAAACCATTAGTTAAATTGATTTACACTAATCAAAATTACAAAAGACTAATTTATACATAAGAATGTCAGTTTATTCATTATAGTGAGAACAAAAACTGTCAAACTGATCAAATTCTCAGAATTTTACTCCTTGTCAAGACCGCAGACATCTAATTCATGGATTCCAAAGTAAAGAAAAATGATAATCAGAGAATTCAGTAACTTTTTAGTATATTCCTACATGGATCAGAGAAGGCTGATCTCATTACAATGCCTGCCAAATATATCCCTAATCTTCACTGGTTCTCTGGGTAGATTTCCCTACTGGAAACGAATGAGCTGACCAAACCATAAAAGTATCCTGGTTTGTATTATTAACAATTAACCCTGGTTTATAAGTTGATCGTTAGTGGTCATAATTAGCAGATATCAACTCATAGAGCAGTGGTTCTCAACCTTGGCTGCACATTAGAATCACCTGGGAATCTTTTTAAAATCCTGATTTCTGGGCCTCATCCTCCGGAAATTCTGTTTCTTTGTTACTAATGTTGTGGCCTCACCCCATAACAAAGAAACAGAATTTCCGGAGGATGAGGCCCAGAAATCAGGATTTTAAAAAGACTCCCAGGTGATTCTAATGTGCAGCCAAGGTTGAGAACCACCGTCTTATAACAGAATTTCTGAGGATGAGGCCCAGAAATCAGGATTTTAAAAAGATTCCCAGGTGATTCTAATGTGCAGCCAAGGTTGAGAACCACTGTCATAGAGTCTAATCTCTAATGACTTTTTAAAACTGTATAAAGAAACAGAATTTTAGTAAAACAATAAATATGAGCAGAAAGCAATACTCTTAGTGATATACATACAAAGATATTTTTTAAATTTGCTTTTTTGTTTTGAATAGGTAATGCATTCATATGGTTCAAAAATTAAATCCATATAACAAGGTACAGGCAGTCCTCGGGTTATGTCGGACTCGACATACCTCGTTTCGTGGTCATGTCGCCATCTCCCATTTATTTATAAAAAAAAGTTCCGTCATTTTGACATATGTACATATGTGCTTTATGTTTTTTATTATTTATTTACCACAAGGTCAGGAATTATATTTCTTTTTTTTAATTAATTAATTTATTTTTTTTATATATTTTATTGATTTTTTACAGAGAGGAAAGGAGAGGGATAGAGAGTTAGAAACATCGATGAGAGAGAAACATCGATCAAAAAAAAATTTCTTTTAAATTTTTTTTACTGTTTCACTTCATTACTGCTGTGTGTGTGCTCCATGAGAGCGACGTAGGTGCTTATGTAGGTGGGTTCCGACTTACGGCGAAAACCGCGTTACGTCGCGCCGTAGGAACGGATCTCCACGTAACCCGAGGACCTACTGTATATACTCTAAGAAGTCTCATGACTACCCCATCCCTATCTACTTTGTTCCCACAAGCAACTCCTTTATTAGAATTTTGTGTATCCTTCCAGTATTTTTAACTCAAGTAAATATATAGTAAATTCTAATCATCTTTTCTTCCTAAATTCAAATGATAGAATACCATATACACTATCAACATTTGTTTTATTTTCTACTTAGTGCATTCTGAAGTCCTATCCATTTCCTCTCCTCTCTCTTACTTTTTAAAAAAGTTATACTGTATTCCATTGTGTGGATGTATTTACCAATGCTAAATCTGGTAGATTCTCTCCTTAATAATCTAAGTGGTTTAACACTTAGTTTCCTATCATGTGAAGCCATAAAAATATGATATTCTTGCCCAGCTGGCATGGCTCAGTGGCTGAGCATCGATCTATGAGCCAGGAGGTCATGGTTCGATTCTTGGGCAGGGCACATGCCGGGTTGTGGGCCGATCCCCAGAGTGGGGTGTGCAGGAAGCAGCCAATCAATGATTCTCTATCATCACCGATGTTTCTAGTTCTCTCTCTCCCTCTTCCTTCCTCTCTGAAATCAATTAAAAATATTTTAATTGATATTCTTATTAAACATTTAGGATTACAAGATTCACCTCAGCAAAAATTCAAAATTTACTTTTGGCAACCATCCATCTTTCATTTCTTCACCCTTCTACTTTTCAGTTCTGCTCTTTACCATTGTCCATGCCTCAAGTGCCCTATACACCAGGAGAAAGAAAAACTACATGGGAGGAAAAGACTGTATTGGGATAGCTAACTGGCTAAAGCTCCCACCTGTGGGAAGGGGCCTTCTGACTCTGGAGCAGGTTTACCAAAGATGTGTCTCCAGCATTCGCTGCTGCTCTTCCCACCTCTACAATAGAAAAGGCTCAGCATCTGTTTTCAAAAAAATTGCTTCAAGCCCTAGCCAGTTTTGCTCAGTGGATAGAGCGTCAGCCTGCAGACTGAAGGGTCCCGGATTCGATTCCGGTCAAGGGTACACATGCTCGGGTTGTGGGCTCCATCATCAGTAGGGAGCTTGCAAGAGGCAGCCGATCAATGATTCTCTCTCATCATTGATGTTTCTATCTCTCTCTCCCTCTCCCTTCCTCTCTGAAATCAATAAAAATATATATTTTTTAAAAATTGCTTCAACTTAGTTCAGGCCTATTCCCATCTTCATCTTCATGAAAAATTAGTATTTCCAATGTAAGGGTCTACTGTGTAGGCATAGCAGAAAATTTGGCCATAGAGGGATACAGGACCTGACACTCTGGTATTTAACAATTTATTCTAGGGAATGATTCAATTGAAAGACATTAAACACCCTACTATGTAACAACCACTACTGGTCTATGTACTGTGGATACATAATACTAGTAGTGAACATGACAGATACAGTTCCTACTTTTATATGGCTATATTCTAGGAGAGAACACAGACAAAATAATGGCAGTTGTGACACATCCTATATAATAAAAGCCTAATATGCTAAGTGTCTGGTCGTCTGGTCAACCAATCAAAGCATAATATGCTAATGACATGCTAAGGCTGCTCAACAGCTCGCTATGATGTGCACTGACCACCAGGGGGGCAGATGCTCCGATTGGTAGGTTAGCTTGCTGCTGGGGTCCTACCGATCGGGACTGAGTGAGTCGGGCTGGACACACCCTGGAGCCCTCCCCCGGTCCCTCCCCAGCCCCCATCATGCACTGGTGGGGTCCATCGGCCTGGCCTGCGCCCTCTCGCAATCCAGGACCACTTGGGGGATGTCGGAGAGCCAGTTTCGGCCTGATCCCGCAGGCCAGGCCGAGGGACCCCACGGGTGCACAAATTCATGCACTGGGCCTCTAGTTCCATATAAAGGAAATAATCATGTAGGAGACAGGGAGGGAGGGAAAAGCTGTCTGTGGAGAAAGGACTACATTAGATAGGGTAGTTAAAGAAGGACTCTCTGAGAAAATGACTTTTAAGCTGACTTAAAAGTTGAAAAGTTGCTAGTTGCACCCAGATAACATGGCTAAATTATACAAGGCAGTATAAACAATAAATGACAAAATGAGTGTTAAAGTCTATGGGGGGGGTGGGGGGAGTCAAAATAATAAGGCATCTACATCAAGGCAAATGTAAAATCTAAGCTTGACCTAAAGAATGAGTAGGATATAAAAAGTATAGATTAGTGGGGGAGGACATTCCAGATGAGAAGAAGAGAATAAATAAGGACTTACTGAGAGAAATTAGTCCAAAGAAGTGAGATCTGTCTCGCTGGACAAAAAAGTGGATGTTAAGAAGTAGTGAGCAGCAATAATTGTCTCCTAGAACGGAAATGAATTGAAAGTGGGTCTTGAATGCCTCTCTCAGGAAAGCATGGCCATAACAATCCATGAGACTACAACTTAATAACTTAAGGTAACATGGCAAAAGTAACCTAAGAATCAATGGCATTAATGTAGCTAAAATCTAATAATTACACACAAAAAAGGGGGTGGTGTGTGTGTGTGTGTGGGGGGGGGGGACACAAAGGGAATGATCAGTCTGGAAAGAGGGAGTTAAGAAAAAGAATGACATTGTTTATTTCAGTCCTGTCTACATAAGAGTACACAGAATCTGGAAGTCAGAAGTATTCTGATTCCAGAGAATAGGGCAAAAACAGGCTTTCCTAATGCTTGGATGGCATATTCCCCAAGATTCTTTGTTCTGGTTCCATGCTGCCTTACGAATTCAGATTTCCCAGTCTGGAAAGAGGGAGTTAAGAAAAAGAATGACATTGTTTATTTCAGTCCTGTCTACATAAGAGTACACAGAATCTGGAAGTCAGAAGTATTCTGATTCCAGAGAATAGGGCAAAAACAGGCTTTCCTAATGCTTGGATGGCATATTCCCCAAGATTCTTTGTTCTGGTTCCATGCTGCCTTACGAATTCAGATTTCCAGGAACCATAATACTAGAAAGTGATGGCCTGGATTTGAGACACAAGTATTCTAGGCACTGGAATAAAATTTCTCTACTGTGATAGCAAAGTTCCATTCTAGTTTATTCATCAGTCTCTTATGAGCTTAATCATCATAAGTTAACATTTAAAGCCTCATTAACTTCATGAAGGTGGGGAGGGGGGGCGGTACTACCTTCCAGATATGAAAGGCTGAAGATCAAGTCCTGAACTGTAATGAACCTGAAGAACTACTACACTGTAACACCCTTACTGGACAGCTAGCCAACCTCTCTCTCTAAGTAAAACCAATAAATCTAGAATACGTAAAAAGTGTCATCTCAAAGTATTTTTGGACCAGAGGATTTCTTTGGGTTACCACTTAATCCCATAGTTCAGAGGTTAATAGGGAATCCTATGCCCTCAATCTCAAGCAAAACAGGTGCTGGCTGCACATGCTTAAAAATGCAGACAGTAATGCTGAACTTGAGGGTTTAGATGTAGATTCTCTGGTCATTGAGCACATCCAGGTGAACGAAGTTCCTAAGATGCAGCACAGAACTTACAGATCTCATGGGCAGACTAACCCACACAGGAGCTCTCCCTGCCACATGGAGATGATCCCACTGAAAAAGAGCAGTGTTCCTAAACGAGAAGAGGAGGTTGCACAGAAGAAAAAGATAACCCAGAAGAAACAAAAACTTATGGCCGGGGAGTAAATTCAGCATAAAATAAATGCTAATAAAAGCAAATAATAATAATAGTAATAAAAACATGGATTGAATGTGTACATGAGGCAACTTGAGCTCAAGAAGTTCATAGTTGCCAAAACCGGTTTGGCTCAGTGGATAAAGGGTCCCGGGTTCGATTCCGGTCAAGGGCATGTGCCTGGGTTGTGGGCACATCCCCAGTGGGAGATGTGCAGGAGGCAGCTGATCGATGTTTCTCTCTCATTGATGTTTCTGACTCTCTCTCTCCCTTCCTCTCTGTAAAAAATCAATAAAATATATTTAAAAAAAAAAAAAAGAAGTTCATAGTTTAATAAGGTACTCCCAGTGCTTACCTGTTGCTATTCGCCTCGATACCTAGAACAGTAGGCTCTCAATATATATTAATTGAATGAATGAGTAACTCTCCATGAGGGTCTACCTTTATAAATGAAGACTATTATTTTAATATCTTTAGCTTAGATGGCTGATCATAGTATTTTTGCAGAGATTGCCCAGAATCCTATCATCTTCTCCTCTTTAGATAGAACTTCAGTATGTCTTCCCAGTTATTTCTTAACTACCTTGATTGCAAAGCTGTTTTCAGCTTGTCTCACGTACAACAGATGGAGTAAACGACAGATAGCAGGTGGACCTGTATTACAGAATTACATATGTTTCTGGGGCCCCTGCATTGCTATTTCATAAAAAGTATGGCTGTAAATGACAATGGGAAAATTACGGAAGGAGTTAGATGTACAATCTGTGCAAATCCAAATAAATTATCTTTGGAAATTTCAATAAAATTTTCAATATGCTTTAATATGGATACAGTGTTAGCTATATACTTTCCCCAACACAAATGTCTTCTGATTCCATTTCCTACTTCTACTTTTATGTACCTTCTGACCCTCCCTACTGGGCTGTCAGGGAAATGGGCATGTTTGCTTTATAAGTCAGTTTGAAATGAGTTTTTTACCTCTGTATTTTGGGAAAGTCACAACAAACCAGGCGACTCCAAAACCACTCTTCATTTAAAATTTTACAAATTGAGGTCAATATTTCTACCTAGAATACATGGCTAGGGAAGGTCCTATCACAGTCTAAACTAAATATAATCCCTCCCCTCCCCCCTCTTCAGTATACTCTGCACAAAGCAATGGACTGACTATAGCTGGATATATCAACTTCACAAATCATTTTAGTCATTTTCAAAAGTTATATCCTAACAGATGCCTGACCCAGGAAAAGTACTAATCAGTGAGAGAGTGCTAATGTTAGATCTAAAGGGTTTCTTTAGCTGTGGAAATAGTGAAAGACTGGATGGAATATGCTTCTTAGCTGTAGATTTTTTAAAAATACATATTTTATTGATTTTTTTACAGAGAGTAAGGGAGAGGGATAGAGAGTTAGAAACATCGATGAGAGAGAAACATCAATCAGCTGCCTCCTGCACACCCCCTACTGGAGATGTGCCTGCAACCAAGGTACATGCCCTTGGCGGGAATCGAACCTGGGACCCTTGAGTCCGCAGGCCGATGCTCTATCCACTGAGCCAAACCGGTTAGGGCTTAGCTTTAGATTTTATGTTAGAGAAAGAAATACAGAGGTCAGAGAAGAAGTGGGATGCTCCCAATCAGGATTGTCTACCACTTACCTTTAACTAGCTGCTGGGTACTAACAAGCACATCTCAGAGCAGACAGTAAGCTCTTTCATTTGCAGAACCCCCCCCTGAAGAAACAGACCAGACTACTGTTCTCTATTTCTTAGGGGACTTGAAGAAACTCAAAGACTCACTGTGTCTTTGAGAGCAGTCGATGGACAGCCCTCCTCTGTACATACATCCATAAAAAGCTCCCTAGCAGTGAATCCCTCTTTTCTCGATTCCAAAATTCTCAACCCTACTCAATTATCTTCCTATAGAAGAGGTATAATTTATCAAGGTCTCACGCAAACATGATCTCCTAAAGCACCCAGGACAGGCCTCCCCTGACATGAAATAAAAACCATGAACATGGTGTAGCGGCAACAATGCATTCCAGGACAGCCCATACAGATGCCACAATAGAATGCCTTCGGATTTCGCCCTCCAAAGGGCTTTCTGGCTTCGTTTTCTCGTTGGTTTCTTAAGAAGAGCCAATGGAGTGAAGAAAGCAGCAGCCCCCAGGTAAGCAGACTTCACACAAACAAAAGACCAGGCGTGATTCTGAGGCCAAAATGGGGTCCCTAAGCAGAGGACCGCTTCCTTCGGGGGGCGTTCGGCTTTCTGAGCGGCCGGGGATATCTCCTTTATTTCAACTCAGAAAGTGAGAAAAAGCAGACAGAGATGCGACGGGAAGACTCGCGAGTCTGGGATAAAAAGCCCAAGCAATACCATCCCCAGGGCAGCAGATCCAAAAGGCGATTCCCGCCCAGAGCCTAGAGGAGGAGACGGGGGTCTGGAGACAGAAAGCCCGGGACTGAGCGCTGGGAGGGACCTGGAGCAGCGCGCACACCCCCGCCCCGCTCCCTGCACACGCCGCCGGGACCCCGTCTGGGCCGCACTGCAGCCGCTCCGCCAGGTCTCCTCTCACTGCAACGAGAGTCCCGGGCCTGGGCCCGTATTTAAAGGCTTCTGCCCGAGAAGGCGGAGGCTTCATTCCCCCGTTGCCAGGCCCTCCTGGATTTCTCTC